GAAATCCCCTGGCAAATAGTCATCCCAGAAAGTCATGCTTTAGTGGTAGCAATTTTTAGACTGAAGGCATCCTTCTTAACAAAATGTCAAATCAGTGTCTTAAAGGAATCAAGGTGATTCCCAAGTAATTTAACAAAGTCCAGCCCTCTTGAGAGGCAGATGATTAAATCCAGACAAGTAACAATGTAGCCTTCACAATAACCAACATCCATCTTACAGATCCAAGAATATTGATAAACCCCTAGCAAAATGAACCCACACACCCAAATCATACCAAGGCATATCATTATCAAATTGCTAAACATGTCACATTGACTTTTTAAAAATTCATTTATTTTTATTGTTGAAAGTGTTACAAATGTCCCATTTTTCCCTCCAACTGATTCCTCCACCTCACTCACACCCCCTCCCCAGGCCTTCACCCCATTATTGTCTGTGTCTATGGGTTATGCATATATGCATATAACTTCTTTGGTTAATCTCTTCCCACCCTCCACCCCCCTTCCCTCTTCCCTCTGAAATATGATCATCTGTTGCCTGCATCAATGTCTCTGGATCTACTTAGTTTATCAGATTCATTTGTTCGTTAGCTTCTTCTTAAAGAAGACTCTTCAACTTTTCCTGTAGTACTGGTCTGGTGGTGATGAACTCCTTTAGCTTTTCCTTGTCTTAGAAGCTCTTTATCTGACCTTCAGTTCTAAATGATAGCTTTGCTGGGTAGAGCAATCTTGGTTGTAGGTTCTTGTTTTTCATCACTTTGAATATTTCTTGCCACTCCCTTCTGGCCTGCAAGGTTTCTGTTGAGAAATCAGCTGACAGTCATATGGGTGCTCCTTTGTAGGTAACTAACTGCTTTTCTCTTGCTGCCTTTAAGATTCTCTTTGTCTTTAACCTTTGGCTTGTTAATTATGATGTGTCTTGCTGTAGCCTCTTTGGGTTCCTCTTGTTTTGGATTCTCTGTGCTTCCTGGACTGGTAAGTCTATGTCTTTCACCATGTAGGGGAATTTTTCTGTAATTATTTTTTCAAACAGGTTTTCAATTTCTTGCTCTCTTTCTTCCCTTTCTGACACCCCAATAATATGAATGTTGAGATGCTTGAAGTTGTCCCAGAGACTCCTTACACTATCTTCATATTTCTGGATTCTTTTTGCTTTTCTGGTTGGGTGTTTTTTGTTTCCTCATGTTCCAAATTGCTGATTTTATTCTCAGCGTCCTCTACTCAACTGTTGATTCCCTGTAAATTACTCTTCATTTCA